ATAGAATAGAATAGAATAGAATAGAATAGAATAGAATAGAATAGAATAGAATAGAATAGAACAGAATACCTTTATTGTCATTGCATTCTACCAAATACAATGAAATTTGAAAGCTATTCCAGCACAGTGCCCCAAACACCACATCACAATCACACTACAGAGTATTTAAAAATTAAACATAGATAAATTAGATACTCGTCTAAGTTCCGATACTTTTATTTCAGATACAGGTAATCCTCAATTTATGACCGCAGCTGAGCCCAAAATTAGGGTTGTACGTCCTGCCCAGTCATTAAGAGGATCATAGCACGACTATGCCCAACTTTTACGACCTCTTTTGCATGGTCATAAAGAGGATAGGGCAGTCGTTAAGCAATTGGTGCAATTCTTAAGTGAACACATTGTCCACCGTGGACAATGTGGGGAAACATTGTAAATTGTAGTCACATGATGGCAAGACCTTGCAATTGGTCGTAAATGTGAACTGTTTTTGGCCAAAATGCTTACGTGACCCGGGGGGGTTAGGGTGGGGACTAGCCATTGGAACTTCAGATCTAGATCATTAAGTATCTTTCTGTCATGTCTGAATGGTTGCTAAGCGACTGCTTGCAAGTTGAGGCCTACTCATACATTGGCTATGCTCACACCTTAATCTAGCTGAGACCAATTTTTATGTCCCACCCTCTGAACTACAAACTAAACCAACACACAGCATACTATGCCACCAAAACACTATCCTAGGCAAAGCTAAAACCAACTATGTTTTTTGGAACTGCAGCGGTGGACTTTGTAACTGAGAGCCAGAGATAGACAGCAATTCAAAAGAGAGAGAGAGAGAGAGAAAGGGGGGGGGGGTTGAACATGGCTGTGACAACAACAATTACAAACCACCAGCACTTTTTTTAAAAAAAAACAGAGGCATGCAAAACATGTCTAAACGTGATAACTCCAGTTCTCCCCCTCATAATTCCGCCCCCGGAATGTTATTTGAAGACTATCATAAACCTCTGAAGTGGCAAGCATTCCAGGGGTGAAAATTATCCACAGGACTTGCTGCTGATATCCAGCCCCCAAACTGAAAGAAAGAAGAGGAAAAACACTTTCCGCCCCCCTTGCAGTTTCATTATTTCTCACACATTCTGAAGTTGTTCTCGATTGTTCTCCCAATGATTTCTTCCACCATCTTTATGCAGTCACCAATGGGTGATGATGACCAATTGTGTCTTCAAGTCGGTGTTAACTCTTAGCGACCGCAGAGGTAGATTTTCTCCTGGATGATCTCCTCCTCACCAGGTCTTTCAGGTCTTCCAAGGATGCAGCCATCGCTACTCGAACTGAGTCCTTACACCTTGCTAATAACTGTCCTCTTTCCAAGCATTAGAGTCTTCTCCAGGTCTTCACACAATGTGTCCAAAGTAGAATAATTTAAGCCTGATCATTTCAAGTAAGAACACTGGATTTGCTTTGTTCGAAGGTCCATTTGTGTTCTTGGCTATCTGTGGTATTCTCAGGAATCTTATCCAAGTCCAAAGTTGGAGTCTCCAACCCCAAAGTGTCCATCTCTTTCTCCGCTGCTTCTTCAAAGTCCAACTTAGCCTTCCACTGAAGTCACACAGAATACCATAGCCTATTCTGACTATTATAAAGTCTCTAATAAATAAGTGGTTCTATTTGCCCAGTTCACCCACTCTTTTAAAAAAAAAAATATTGGATTTTTCTTTTTTACATATCTCGATCACATACTAAACAGTACTATGACATTTTTATAGTTACATTTCCTGTCCTATACAATCTATACATTCTATTCCTATACCTTCTACATCTATTGTATATACTTTCATTTCTTATTTCTATTGTCTATTCAATCATACCATTTCTGCCATATTGCATAATATTCAGAATTTTCTTTTCCTTTCAATTCTATAGTCAATTTAGCCATTTCTGTGCACTCAATTTTTTTTTATTACTAAGTCTTCGGATGGTATGCAATCTTTCTTCCAACACTGTGCATAGGCAATCCTTGCTGCTGTTAATACACGTAACACCAAATACTTTATCCTTCTATTGTATTTCCTTTTAATTATCCCCTAGAAGAAATAATTCCGGAGCAAAATCTATTTGACTTCCAGTTAATTCCTGTAACCATTTTTGTATTTTCTTCCAATATTTTTTCGCTTCAGGGCATAACCACCATGTATGATAGATATGATTTTGTCTGCATTTCCAGCAATCACCCACTCTGTTACTTAGATCCAAGCACAACATTCCCAACCCCCATCTCCTCCAGTGGCCTCACCTACAAGAAGACGCTCAGCTTCAGGCAGCCCTTTGAAGATCCTGCGGAAGTCTTCGTTGCGTTGCTTGTAGGTGGGACTCAGCATCTGCCAATGCATAAACAGAGGCCTTTAGGATGATCTGGTCTTCTTACCTTCAGCTCAACCAG